CCTGTCGGCGCCGACAGGTTGGTCATAAATACTTGTATGTTATTTTCCTTCCACCATTCATACAATTCTAACAAAATACATCATAGTTTGTGGTGGTAATGTAAAACATTTCAGGAAGTGTCAAGGCCATGTTTGATCATTTGAACTCATTGGTTTTTCTATTAAAAGCCGATTCTCTCCTGTCTAAAGGATAGGGAGCCCCTTGCAGCCAGTGAGAATGTGAAAATAGTCCAACATGGTGCTCGCTGCAGCCTAACCATATTGTGCCCTGAAGGAGAGGACAGTGGCATATATACCTGCTTCGCTCACAACGACTCAGGCCAAGCCTCCTGTGAAGCTCAGCTAGCGGTTGAGGAAGGTCAGTAGTTCTAATCTGCATTTTTACACCTGCTCAGTTCATCATAACGTTGTTAAAAAGGAATGATTAGAGCACCTGAAGCATGATGGATAATGCAAGCTTTTGTACTCTTAAACAAGTTGAAGAATATTGCCACCCTAGTGCCAAATTTATTTACTAATTTTGTGTTTTTCTGTAGGTCTGCTTGATCCTCAGGAGAGGGAAGTGGAGCTGGGGAAGAGAAGGAGATTATTCTCAGTCTATGATGTCCATGAGGAAATTGGAAGGTATTGTTCACTTTCCTTTTGCTATCAGATGTTTGTTGTTGTTTTTTTTAAGGCACAGCATATCCATTTTCTTTTTTTGTTTTGTGATTTAGAGGGACATTTGGGGTGGTGAAGCGTGTCATCCACAGAAGAACAGGGGAAGTGTTTTCTGCCAAATTTCTGCCTCTTCGGAGCAGCTCTCGGACCAGGGCCTTCCAGGAGAGGGATCTTCTGTCTCGCCTCGCTCACCCCAGAGTGGCCTGCTTGCTGGACTTCTTTTGCACCAGACGCACCCTGGTGTTAATCACAGAAATGTATCCTTCCTTTTCAAACTGCCAAACTAGTTATGGGTTTGATCACATACTCGATCGGTGAGTTCTTAACATCATCATCCAGCTGCTGTTCTCATGGACTTCTGGACCATTTATTGATGAGAGGATCTGTCTCAGAAAAAGAGGTACAAGCCCAGATTTTAATTTGACTAAATCATCAGAGCTATATATACAGAATGATCATTGGGGAATATTATTTCCTTTCAGGTTCAATTTTATGTCCAGCAAATTCTAGAAGGGGTTTGTCATATTCACAGCATGAACATCATGCACCTGGATATCAAAGTGAGATTTTTATTCAGTGTCAACTATCACTTACATTTTCTGGTGATTCTCTGCCTTAATTGAGTACTTTTCTACTCCTTGTAGCCTGAAAATATATTAATGGTGTACCCGCCCAAAGACGAGATCAAGATCTGTGATTTTGGCTTCTGCCAGGAAATAGACACATCCCGACACCAGTACAGTGTGTTGGGTACCCCAGAGTTTGTTGCACCTGAGATTGTACATCAAGAACCTGTCACTGTGGCCACGGATATTTGGTGAGATTAACTGATTATGTGTCCTGAATTTGCCATAACCTGTAAATAATTTAATTGTTTGTACTAAACTCTAATAATCTGTTGCTGTTGTTGTATTAAGATAATTACTACAAAAAGTTATGTTTTGTTTATTTCTCATACTTTGTCCCATCAGGGCTGTCGGTGTCATAACATTTCTGTGGTATGTATTCAGTGATATTCAAAAATAAACTTGAATCATGCAAAATATAAAAGTGTAAATAGCAGAAGAGCTTGTTTTTTCCTAATTATTTCTTGCATAATTTTTTTGTCTTGACAGTCTGGTTTGCCGGTGCCCCTTTGTGGGCGAGACTGACCGTGCAACATTGCTCAGGGTGGGAGAGGCAACTTTAAACTGGGACGCCCCAGACATCGTATGCAGGAGCCCAGAAGCCAGGAATTTTCTCCATACAGTCCTTCAGCCGGATCCAGAGTACAACAGCTGTCTTATTTTTCACTAGCCTTATGCCTCTGTAGTTTTTTAAAATTCTTTAAACAAAATCTGACAAGAGGCCTTAATTAATAAATGATAATAGATTTCATAGTTTTATGGCAGTACAAAAAAAAAAAAAAAAGATAACTCAGTCTCAAAAGGAGACGTCTAGTTAAGTTGCAACATTTACATTTGTAATGCTAATTTAAACTATACATTTGCTGAGCATATTACTATTTAAACTAAGGGCTTGAATCATAGAACAGAAAATGAACAAAAATCAATATTTCATTTTCAGCTACAAATAACAGCAAACTAATTTTCAAAAATAACATTTTAAAACTGTTAATCCCAAAATTATTGACATTATTCAAAATGGAAGAGACAGAAGAACAACACATTCAGTGAAAGAGAAGAGTGCTGATCCTTAAAGGTCAAGAAATGGCAACAATTAAAAAATCTAAAACATCTCTAACAGGTTAAACAACATGCAGCATCTTCTTAGAGTGAGACGATGATGCCCATATTTGCACATTTATACCAGGGATGCCAATAATTATGTGTTGTATTGGTTTGTTTCCATCTGACAAACCTAAATATAAATGCTTGTGTAATCTGATTCAAAGATGCTCACATGTTTTATGTGAGTCAGTGATAACAGTATCTTATTTTGTTGTGCAGGACTCGACCATCTACCTTTGAGTGCTTGAGTCACGAGTGGCTTCAGGTGAAAAAAAACAATAAAAAAAAAAAACAGAACATTGTAGGTTTTATACTAATGAGCTCTGACGCATTATCTGTAATTATCCCCACAGGATGGAAATGCAGGGGAGGACACTGATGAAATCAACACGAGGAGTTTGAAAGACTTCATATCTAAAAGGAAGTGGCAGGTGCGTCCGAGTTATCTGCTAAAATCAAAGCCCTTCTCCAGGAGAAAGAAGATTAGTCGGAGCAGCAGTCATGAGGCCCATGGAGGAGCCACAGAGGTCTATTGTTGGCTGTGAAATTCACCAGAGACAGCACTCATCCCATCTACTATCTGTTTGACCTGCTGCCCTATGGCAGGCACTACAGGGCCTCTCTAACCAGGACAAACTGGCTCTGGGTTCTGAATGACTGAATCAGTCAATGAGTACACTTTATTAATCCCAGAGGGAAATTCGCATTTCAGCACAACCTGTCCAAATATAGACAGGTGCCTGAGGCTATATGCATTAGTTTGTGTCTGTATATTACAAAAAAAAAAAAAAATCCACGAAAGACAGTTTGTGGCTTTATTGTGACAAAATGTACTGATTATGACACTACAAGACACTGTAACAGTTTCAGCAAACATAAGGTAAATTTTCTTTGCTGTCACAAAGTATTTCAAATCATTTAACCAGTTTTTTTTTTTTTCCATTTTTCTCCTCAGCGTTCTTTGACATCTATCGGGTCTGTGCTCACTCTGAGGCCCATCCCCGAGCTGCTCGATGCTCCTCTTAGAGAGACGTCGGTTGCGGTGCCCCGCGAGCCGCAGGAGCACAGCAGCACCTCCCTGAGCAGCGGCTCCTCATCGGAGTATGATGAGGCCGACTCTTGGGACTTTTTCCAGCACTGCAGCCAGACAGAGGAGGAGGAGGATACAGAAGAAGAGTATGACCCCTTAACAGAGAGGGCACAGATCTTGGAGCCGTATCCTAAATGCCTCCTAAGTTTACAGGAGGATGTAGGGGCTTTTGGGGAGGATGAGGATGGAGAAATGGGAGAACGGAGGAGTGTTACCGAGCGCAGCATGAGCAGAGCATCGATTGCGTCATCAACAACAACAACAGACCAACAGACACCTCAGAGGGAACGACGCTTCAGCAAGGATAGCAACCGATCTTTGTACCTCTCTGACGGCGACGAGGGCTCAGGGAGTGACGGAGGCCGCATTCCCAGAGGAAGCGTCATCCGAAGCACTTTCTACAACAGCTCTCAACAGCTTTCCCCTCTGTCTGCGAGACACATGACTTTGAGGGACAAATTCCAGGCGAAAAAGCAGGAAAGAGGCCGTAAGCCTCTCAGGAGGAGCTTCTCGGGGCGGCTCAATGAGCCTCTGATTGAATACGTGGAGGATGAACCCGAGAGCAACCGTGGGCAGAGACGAGGATCCGTACAGCCCAGCATGCAGAAGTCCTCTTCGTTTGATGATGGGGTGGGCTTCTCCCACACCAACGTACCGCCACACAGACGGAGCAGGTCTCTTGACGAGTATTCCCGTCGATCTCCCAGCTCAGCCAGCCATGAAAGCGCACACGAAGAAGAGGCCTCTCACAGCACGAAGGAAGAAATCACATATGGTGAAGCAGCTGGGAGAAACTCACTAATTTTCCAGAAAGCTCCGAAGGTCTCAGGACGAAGAGGCTCAGTCGCTCTGACACAAGGGGTATTTAGTGGATCATCTCTTCCATCTGAGTTCCTTGCTGGAGGCAGAATGAGATCCAGGCTGGGTCAGGACCAGACTGAGGGAGACACGCTGACCAGCTCCCAGGGGTCTCTGGCAGAGTCTTTCATTCTGGAGCATGGTGGATCTGAGTCTTCAAGTAGAATAGGCTCCTTTGATGAGCTCAGTCATGGTCATGTCGGAAGGAGATACCGATCAGGAGGGAGTGATGAAAATGATGAACACAGTGAACCCCTGATTACACCCTCCCCTACCCCATTTCAGGAAATAAAACCTCGAAGTTCCCGTCCTCAGCCTCCACCACGTAATCGGACCCGGTCCAATCCTAACTTGTCTACAATTAGCAAAGGTCAGCCAGAGAGGCCCTCAATGCCGAGTCCCAGTCCAAGCCTCTGCTCTCTAGGAACTCCTGAGAGGCCTCCCAGAGCCCGGGACAAGAAAGAGGGCGCCATGCTCCAAAGGCATGCATCTGCTCCGGCTCTGGAAGCGCGCCCACCGACTGGAAAGTCCCCCAAACTGGGTCTCCTGAGGATCTTCCGAAGGCAGTCCTGGACCGGCCACTCATACACCCAGCTGGAGAGTACGGAGCTGGGGCCCACACTGGGAGAGATCATGAAGCCCGACACGCCCACTATGTCTCTGAGGAAGAAGATGAGAGCTTCAGCCTCCAGTCTGACCAAACTGTTTTCCAGGTCCTCCAGTAAGGAAAATGTCAGTAAAGGAGGTAAGTTGAGTTTTATTTGTACGTAATCCCAAATTAGGGATGTAGTTTGTTGTTTAATACCAGATTAATAATTTTTTTTTGGATGTTTAAGGGCCAATAGTAAAAGGATCCACTGCCATCCCAGCTGAGAGGGAACAGAGCAGTGGTCTCGAGACCCCCAAAAAGAGAAACTCAAAGCTCCTCTCATCTTTTAAAATACCACCATTCAAAAAGATAAAAGGTAACAAGGAAACACGCTACAGTTCATCATTTATGAAACATCTGTTTAATTTATTTTCTTCATAATCATGTCAGTTCGTCCCAGCAAAGCAGAGGTGCTCCAGCTAGACGGAGGCGGAGTCCTGCTGGTGTGGAGGCCTGTCCAGTCCGATGACCCGGCCACTTACTGTGTGCAGTACTGTTCAGAAGGTGAGTTTCAGTTGCAGATGAAAATTTACATTTCACCTTACATAAAGTGAAACATCTCAAAATCTCTTTATGTTTGCTTTTTTATTCTTTCCGTACTTTGAAAAACCAAACTCATCAACATGTCGTCAGGTAGTCGTGCTTCCCAGTGTTTGCAGTGATCACTTTGTTTTCATTCTGTTGTTTTCATTCTGTTGTTTTACAGCGAACATTTATAAAAGCTTTCTCAGAGGCCTTGAAAGCTGTTTCTTTTTTTAGTTTTATTTTTCTGGATTAGTCTCCTGTGTGTTTCCTCAGGTGGCGAGTGGACAGTCCTGTCAGATGAGGTGGCAGACAGCTGCTACGTAGTGAAGGATTTACCGAAAGGGGCGTCGTATGTGTTCAGGGTGGGCTGCGTCACCAGGACAGGAGCAGGACCTTTCAGTGAAGCTTCAGCTCCCATTGTCATGTCCACTCATCCTGAAGGTATTAAAAGCTGCACATTGTGTTAGCTGCTGCAAACTACGCTAATCATTTCCTAAAGTTTTCTTCTCGTAGATCATAGTACACTGTTTCGAAACCTGCGGGTACATCCATGTAGAAGATAATAATCCTTCTTGTATTTTTTTTATTATTTTGCAGATATCCGCATTCCTCTCATTCAGACTGACTCAATCGGGTCAAAAGTACCTGGATCAGAACATCAAACCGTAAACAGGAACTACAGCTTCCTGTCTGAGATCAACAGGTCACTGATGACAAAAAGTAGTTAAGCAACAATAGAACTGTTTCTGTTTGCTCAGCAGTTTCATATCTGAACATGACAACTTTACAGGTGTATTGTTGAGATCAAAGTTATCTGTTACCTTCAAAAATGGATTATTAATGGAAGGAGGGGGAGATACAGTTTTTGTGCATCTGCAACTCATTTAAAATAGACCTTTATCTGTTGTTCCTCCCAATTAAACACATATTTCTTTTAAACGCCCTGCTTTCTCTCAGGGGTCGTTTCAGTGTCATAAACCTGTGCAGGGATGTGGAAACCAGTCAGGTATTCGCCGCTAAGATCACTCCCTACCAGGCCGAGCAAAGGCAGCTGGTGCTGCGGGAGTACCAGCTGCTCAGGAGGCTGCATCACCCCCACCTGGTTCAGCTGTACGCTGCTTTCATCACCCCTCTGTATGTGCTGCTGGTGGAGGAGCTGTGTCCCGGCAAGGAGCTGCTGCACAGTCTGGCTGCAAGGTAAGCTCAAATACTTTAAGCATTTCATTTTAGATACATAGACTGGAATGAGACTCTGTTCTGTCTTTTGGTTTTTTTAAATTGTGGTTCAAAGAACTCATATATATAATGATTTCAGTGAGAACACAAAGCTAACTAGAAACTTTGCATTAGTTGGATTTAGTTTGAACTCAGAGCTTATATGATTCTACGTCCTTAGAGACCTGTATGCAGAGAGTAATGTGGCCGAGCTGCTCCATCAGATTGTCAGCGCAGCGGACTACCTCCACAGCCGCCGGGTCATCCACCTGGACCTGAAGTCTGACAACATGCTGGTGGACGATGGCAACCACCTGAAGATCATCGACTTCGGCTCAGCTCAGTCCTTCGTACCCGGACAGCCTCTCAACATCGAGCACATTCACGGCTTCGCAGACAGCAAAGGTAGCAGTGTGGGGGCGGAGGGAGTTTTCTTCTTTTTTCTTTTTTTTTTACATCTGAATTTACAAGCAAAAATTATTGTTTGGAAGATTTAAGATCTAACATACTCAATGTTTGACTGTCATGGCCTTCCAACAGACTGCTGCAGAAAAGGTGCACTTTACTGAAGAAAGGCTGAATGGTTGGATGGATGGAAATAACAGAGCCTAACTTCATCTCAGCTGATCTTAGCTACCATAATCTAACAAACACAAGTCCATTTATCATTTATTTTTTTACCCAATTACAATTTTAACCATTTTCCATATTAAGAGGAGAATAAATTGTTTTAATGGACAATACTCTGCTTCTCTCTGCTTTTATCAGTCTATATTGTCCTTCCTAAAGCTCCAGAAATCCTGGAGGGTCAGGGTGTGGGGCCGGAGACTGACATCTGGGCCGTTGGAGTCCTGTCCTTTATCATGTAAGCACTGACAAAACAAGTGTAAAATACCACAAAATAAGATTTTATTTTGTTTAAAGTCAAATATAAGATCAATTAAAATTATATAGTTATATAGCTGTTAGGGATTTTTTTAAAGATCTTAAGAAAATTAAAGACACTCACAGATAGAGCGCATCATTTGTTGCTCCAAAATATCTAATTATTCTATCTGCTTGTAAATTTTCACCACAAGGCTGAGCGCCGACAGTCCCTTTTATGCCGAACACAGCTGGGAGCAAGACAAAAACATTAAGAAAGGGAAGATCCAGTTTGGCCGCTGTTACCCTGGTCTGTCAGAAGGAGCTTTAAACTTCATGAAGAACAGCCTGAATAATAAATCCTGGTGAGTGTCTCTCAGTGTCAGTGATTAGATTGGATTTGTTTATATAAAATATTGATGAGAACACACAGTTTTGATGGGTTAAAAAAAAAATGTTTGCAGGGGGAGACCAACGGCGGCCGAGTGTCTCCAGAACCCGTGGCTTCGCGCCCATCGGGCCCCACACAAAGTCCGACCCTCCAAAGTGTGCTTCTCCACTGACAAGCTCAGAGCTTTCCTCAAGCAGAAAGAAGAGAAACGAGATCAGGTGTGCACAAAACATCAGGGGCCGTTCTTCCAGTGAGGTAAAACAAAACACGCAAACGCAAAACCTCTTCATCGTTGTGAACAACAGCAAAAAAATATATATATATATATATATATATATCACTGCAATTGTGTTTTTCCTGGTGTGACTTTTCTTCTGTTAAACAAAACCAAAGTTAGTTTCATAAAATGAAATATCCTGACTTTAAACGCGTCTTAATGAGTCTCAGTTTGTGAAATCTTTTCGATTTGGTTTTGATGGAAACATTTCAGGGATTAGTTAGGACTGCACACTGATGCATGAGTTGACAGGTTTTGATTGCTCTCAAAGTGATTTGCTGCCTTCATCTGTTAAAGCGTCAAATGTTTGGTCTTACATATAACATCTGTTTTTTGTGTGTTTTAAGAAAACTACAGAAAATTTCAGAAATGTATTCCAAACTTTATTACTCATAAGTTTGCAATGAATAAATAGAACAGTGTTTTGTGAATGACCTCCTGTCTTGAAGTGAATGGAGAAAAAAAATAAATAAATGACACTCAAAGTGCTTTGTTAATGTCCCCAATCTCTTTATTTATCCACATTTCTATATAAACATGTGATATTGAACATCAATGGAAATCTACAAAATACAAAGTCTTCTCTGTGCAGGAATGTTTTAGTTATTTAATATTAGTGTTGAGCAAAAGTATGCATAAATACAGTTTTCAGTGGGTTTCTATGCAATTTATTAAAGTATGATTTCTCCATCTGTCCATTTATCCATACATCCCACTCCTTACTAGCTGGGTTTTTGCAAGATATATATTTCAAAGACTGACTACAGTGAAAATATCCCCCATCAATTAATTGTGAACATTCATGCTTCAAATAGGCTAAAAAGCACTGAGAACTCTTATACCCTGAACCCTGAATTTGCTATACCAAATAAGTGCCAAAGGTGTTTAGTAGAGGCCAGAAAAAAGTTTCAAATTATACAGTTTTAAGATATTCATACATACATTTGACCAGTTTTTCTTTCACTAACTACAACAGAAATTCTTGCTCAGCAATGAAAACATTTTAACCCAAACGTTTGCATTTCTTTACTTGCATGGAAACAACACAGGTGCAGAGAAATGTAAAGAGAAATAAAAAAAACAACAACAACATATCTTCTGCTCTTTTCTTCGGTCGTGTTCATTCTCTGGGAGAGTTATTCTGATCAGAGTCACAAGCAGCAAAACAAGTGGGTAATTGTTTTTGGTTCATTTGGCCTCCTGGACCTTCTTGATTTCCTGTAAGGGGAGAAATAATAAAATACTGCAACTTGTACAAGAAACACAAACCGATAAAAAGCCACTGTTCTACTGTTTACATACTTCATCGAGGATTTCTTTCAGCTCCTCATAGGCCTTCTCTAAGTCATCATTGATGATAACTATGTCAAACACTCCAGGCTCTTTACCTAAAAACAATTTCATCTCGTTTAGCCTTTTGTGTTTTTACTTCAAGGTGTTTTATTGGGATTGTGAAGAAACTCACTAAGCTCCATATCGATGCGTGCGGCCTCCAGACGTTTCTGTAAACTCTCCTCCGTCTCTGTCTGCCGGTCTCTCAGACGTTTTTCCTAAAACAGAACATGGCATCACCTTTATCATTAAAAACAGTATTTATTTTGATCCAGCTGTAAACAAGCTCAATTAAGAGTATAACAACAATGTTGGTGTTCAGGCACATGCGAATTGCATTACCAGGATCTCCATGGATGGAGGTTGGATGGAGATGTAGATGGGGTCCAGATCAGTCTCTTTAATCCGCTTCACCCCCTGGATATCCACATCGAGGATGCAGATCAGATTCTTAGCTCGTACATCTTCCACAGCAGCTTTACTGAAAGCAAAAAATGACAGCAGAGAGATTGTAGAACAACTGAGACCAAACAGGGAGGTTTTGCTTGTGTTTAAGCAGGTTTTGGGTGCATTTATGCAGTTTTGCTCTTTACAAAGGCAATGACCAGGGTAAGAGGATCTCTGCATTGATCCAGGCTGCTCAGACTCGGTGAGTGAACGTTATCTTCAGAATAAGGAGAGATTAAAGGTGACTCATAAGATGCTAAGCTGCTGTGGTGCTCTTTTTAACTTATAGGTTAAAGCTCCATCTGTCACTTAGGGAATGTGAACCTGTAACTGCTTCATGCTTTTTAATGAATCTTCCTTCATTTTTCTTTTTATTTCCCCCTGTGAGTTTTTGCTTTGGTAAGTATCCCTTAAATTTATAATAAATGTTTCCTGTGCTCGAATGGGTCATTATTAAAGGTGCTCAGATTTTAACTCTGGTTCTATTTTTACTCACACATTAAAGGGTCTAAGCGTTGGAGTAGTCCTTTTTTGATAATGAATCCCACCTAAACTTGTTTTGGGTTGATGCCCTCCTTGTGTTATTGAGGAACACCTGGAGCTGGTCAAATCCCAGCCTTTGAGATTTAGCTGATTAACCATCAAACCTGTGTTGGTCAAATAGGGCCAGCAGACAGCAGCTGACTTAACAGTTTTCTTATCATATCTGTGCATTAACCAGGATTACAGAAAAAAAAGTGATTATTTAAAATCATTTTACAGATGTTCTTGAAATGCTACAATAACACTAAAACGCTTAATGTTATTGTAACACTTTTTTTTCCCCCCTCCAGGACTGCTCTGGATGTGATTCCATCTATGTCTACAAGTGCTGCCCACAGCATGATGCTGCTACCACCATTGTAAATTAGTTGCACTGGCTTCAGTTTAGGGGTATTAAAGTAAACCGGGCTGAATATAAATGTTCCAAAAAATATATATAAAAAACACATGCATCAATCACATGCATTTCTCCATGAAAAACATATGAGTTCGTAATATGCCAAAAATGCGTTGTAAACATAATGACATACGTTACCTTGTTCCATACATGTTGCCAGAAAACTCAGCATTCTCAATAAACTCTCCGTTGTCGATGCCTTCCTGCATGGCCTCTCTCGTCGTGAAGTGGTAGTCTGCAAGACGCATCATTGGTTATAATGCTAGATCTGCCGGAAAACACTCTGCTTTTAGAAAATAATACATATAATGCACAACAATCATAGTAGAAAGCAACATGGATTCCAACCAATTAAAAACAAAATCAGCTGCAAATAAAATTTCATCAACTGAAGCTAAGTTTACAAATGTTTTATTTGTTACTGTAAGCCTGTATCTAAACAATATTCAGTGTGAGTCAAATATCAGCATAAAAAAACATAATAATACTGGCGTTCCTTTTTCCATACCAGATCCACTGATCTAAATCCTTCAAACGTCAAAATCTCTCGGTATCTAAAAACACAAAGTTTCAGAAGCGAGCAAACACATTTCTACCTCTACCACTGATCTCCACATCACATGGCAACTAATGCATTTGGAACTGAATACGATCCAAAGAGAAATGACAAGTGAGCTGGAAACAGTAAATATCATTCAAATTGGGGGATGATTTAAAAAAAAAAAAGATTATTTTTTGCCCAAAGTTGGCTACATTACAGCTGGAGGAATTCAATAATAGTCAAAAATTAAAAATCAGGAAAGGAAAATAAAGAGCAAGATATTTTTTGAATTTAAAAACCTTGATTTAGTGGCGCTAGTGGTCGAATCTGAATGGTTAGAGCTCACTTCGCTACAGTGGAGGGCGGAACAGTTTTATGGGATGTTGGAAATGGGAATCACTGAAGAGGCAACACAGGGGGCTATTTTCAAAAGCTTTTTACTCCAAAGTGTAAACTGTCTTATCGCGATTCCCGTTCTTTATTACAGTTTGTAAAATCATGACCGATTCCCTTATAAATCCAATGACAGTATGCCATGGTGATGAAAGTAACCCCCATCCCTCTATCTTAACAAGCTGTGATGAGGAATCACAGTGATAAAGATCACCTTTATCTTTGTGTTCTGATTCTTTTGGACACGAAAATGAGGTTTCAGAGGAAAAGATGTCTGCTACAGGCAGTAAAGTAGCCCCCAGAAGCATGGGGAGCTTGTTCAGCCCTATGGAGAGAGCAAAAAAGGCACAGAAAGAGGTTTATCCCTTTATATGAAGGGGGATTACACAAGGTGACAAAAACTATTTGTGCAGTTCGCTTGGGAGTAAGAAGTGTCGTAGTGCTGTTGTAGCGAGGGCAGGGAAAGGGAAATCCACTCTTATGACAGCCATGTAGGTTCAAATTCAAGTCCATGTCTGCCGTGAGTTGTCACTGCGTGTTAGCAAGGTGATGCTAACACAGCGTTAAAACGCTAAAACATCAAACACGTGCCAACTAGGCATGGGCCGGATGCAGGCATCAAGGTACACTTCAGTTTTAGAGCCCATGGCTTACAGTCTTTTTAAGAGTTTTGTCCTGCTTCATGAAACACACAACAGCTGATCCTTCCTTCCCATATGTTGTTGCACACTGCTGGTCAGCTGGCTGAATAGCAGCAACTTTTCCATTGCTGACAGGAGAGACAAATTCTGCTTTTTTTTATTCCGTTCTACAAAAGATGCTAAGGTTTCAATGCTTTTCAAGTAAATAGTCTGGTTTATCCCTGGGTCCAGTTTCCACATGCCCAAAGGTGCCTCAAAGAAACAAGTAGAAACATCCTGGTTCTGTTCAGGAAGAAGTTGATTTCTGTGTCCCAAATAAGATTGGTTTTTGTGCAAAAAGGGCGTATCCATATGTGCCTCAACAGCAACAGGCCTTCTAAAGACGCTGGTTGAAGCTGCATTACATGCAGCACTGTGGGTGTGTTTTTCTTTCTTTTTTTTTTTTCTCACTCTCCCCCTCATGTGTCTTGGCTGTGCAGGTGAGTGCAGCTGTTCCCACTTCACCTAATCAGCATGTAAAGCAGAGTACTTAAACTGTGGGAGTCTGGTTCAGACACAGGCCTGGATTTATTAGGTGTGAGAACCTTATGGGTTTGATCTCACCGGACATCTCCTGTGGACTCTACCAGGTTACTCCATTGCAGGGAGCTTGTTGTGATCAGAAAGGAGTGTGTATTTACTCATTTGAGAAGGAGGGTGAGTGTTTAGTTACTTTTTGTAGGGAATAACTT